CGGTAATGACTTAATCTGTATAACATCTGTCGTTTTGAGCCTGCCTAGCGCACGGCGTGAGAATCAAAAACACCTATCTTGTCGCTCACTCATTCAATCACATGTTATGGGGGAAGAATTCTTATCGAAATTTCTATGAGCTCAATATAAAGCGCATGACTATTATCACCTATTTTTTTATTTGCTCGATACATCTGTTTAAGGACTGGGAGCCAAAATTGCTGACCTAGCTTCCTTACCTGTGGGTCTGAATTTTGTGCAAGCCCATTCTCCAGAAAAGGCGAGGCATAATTCATTGCAATTTTCGCTCTACATTACAGCTAAAACTTGATTTCAATTATCCTGAAAATTGGGAGTTACGTTGCCAACTTCAGGATCTAAAATGAGAATTGTGCGGGTTGTTTCGTGGCTTAGCATTCCTTACCCGAGCATGACTAGAGTCCAGCAAAATGAGGGACTGGTTTTGAGATAGGCGGCGTTGCTAAGGAGGGCTCGTTCAACCGGAAACAATTACCTCATTTTGACGGATATGCATGTGCAGGCTTCTTGAAGCCGTGCGCAAATGCCATTGTCGGTATCCAATGATAAGGCGAATTTAAACTATGGGGCGATTGGTAGCATCTAGCGGCGTACGTTCGGCTTTGATAACAGCCTGTGATTGCAGATTCAGGATTTGGTTTAGATTTTCCAAGCATTGCCGAAGGAGCAAGTCTTCTTGTATTTTGGCACCAAAAAAACGTCATGGTTTAACGCCTACTGCAATCAATTCGTATGAAAAGCTTGGCAAAAGACACTTTTTATTTCTCGCATTGAAAAAAATTGACCGGGATCCCCCTTTTTTTCTCAAAAATAATGTCAGAGTGTTGATTGGTAATGCAAGTCCTGAATAGTAGCTGCTGCGCTGTCCAGGTTTGTTATCACTATTCCGTTTTCGTCCACATCGACATTGGCGAAATCTCGTCGAGACCTGCAGGCCGGTTGTGCCGCGGCAAAGCCTCGGAGGGAGTCAGATCTGAATTCATCCACGAACCACGGCACGATTCATGAAATAACCCATATTCACTATGTAGAATGAGCTTTACTCATTTTTGGGCGTGAATTCTTCAAAATTGAGGAGGCAAGTAAAGAAGTACTCACAGACTGGCCTTTCGTGAGGCAATCTGGAGACCTCAGTGCCTCGCGGGCGGCCATTGGCAGATCTCATCATGCAGACGCGCGTAATTAATTGCCTTCATCAAGAGATAACGCCAAATTAGCAATATTGACTCTTTGAAAGATGTGATGTCAGCTATAAATACAATGGAGCCCGGCTCTGAGTTGGGTCTGAAAAGAAATAAAAAGTACCTTCATTTGCAAATCGAACCTTGATGAGGTTCTCCACTCTCGTTTCGACGGCCGCCATCTTGGCCTCTTCTCTCGCTCACCCATTAGAAAAGAGAACCATTGTCAATTCTACTGAAGACGCGACCAGTAATAATGATTTGCAGGCCTCCTATGCAAAGCCGTTTGCCATTTTCCAACCAAAGGTGTTCGTCATCAATATGTTTGAATACGAGGCCAAGCCATGGTTGAGTGCCATGAAGTTCGAGCACAACATCACTATTCCAGGCTTGTCTCCTTTATACCCAACTATCTTCTGCACGGGTGACTACTCCGTATGTGAGATGACAACTGGGGAGGGTGAGATCAACGCAGCGGCTTCTGTGACTGCCATGGGCTTGTCGCCATTGTTTGACCTTTCTCACACCTACTTTTTGATCTCTGGTATCGGCGGCGGAGAGCCTCAATACACCACGATGGGATCGGTCACATTTGCTAAGTATGCCGTTCAAGTCGCTTTGGAGTACGAAACTGCCTACCAAGACTTCAGCAACACCCACGCCAACTGGACCTCTGGGTACTGGGCCTACGGCACTGAAAACCCATGGACCTACCCTGGTAATGTCTATGGTACAGAAGTCTTTGAAGTGAACGAAAACTTGAGAAACAGGGCTGTAGAATTGGCTGAAACCGCAACTTTGGAGAACGGAACGGAGGCAAATGCTGCCAACAGGTTGTTGTACAACGAGACCGCTGCGCGTGGCTTGCCTTCTGTGGTGAAATGCGACGCTTTGACCTCCGACAACTACTTCACCGGTAACACTTTGGGCGATTACTTCTCGTTCTATGCCTCCATGATGACCAACGGCTCCGCCACTTATTGCTCCACTGCTCAGGAGGACAACGCATCCTTGGAGGCTTTCACCAGATTGCACAGATATGGCCTCACCGACTACAATAGAGTTGTTGTTATGAGATCCATTTCTGACTTTACCAGACCTCCTCCATCCAAGTCTAATGACACTGTTGGCTGGTTCAACAACCCAGAGGATGGTGGATCTCATGTTGCTTTTGCAAACTTGCCTATTGCTGGTATGCCTCTTGTTGAGGACATCTTGGAGAACTGGGACGATGTATACTACTCTGGAAAGAAGTACGGTCCAGAGAACTATACTGGTGACATTTTCAACACCTTGGGTGGTACTCCGGACTTTGGCAAGTCATCCTTCGCGGTTGCCTAAATGGACAAGACCTTTAAAAACTCATTATTTGAGCACATTATACCTAGGTAATTTTACCCCTTCTATCGCTAAACTTACATACATTCGAATCATATACTTCTCAGCTTAAAGCCTTTTAAAACGCTTCGATGGAATCCTTCTTTGCGCTCGAGTCCGACACTGCACCGTAATTTTCTCCAGCTGTGTCAACATCGGTGATAACGTACTCTTTTCTTTCCAAGGCAGTGAAAGGACCTCCCGTGATTCGAGAGTACATGTACAAAGTACCTATTCTCAACCCTGCGAACATGAGAGTGAAAAGCAATCCTCCCACGGGGGTAATAACAAAGGCGCCAAATGGGCCCCAGTCCTCTGAATCATAAAGTCCATTCCAAATAAGAAGAAGCTTTCCTCCCTCTTTGGCAGACCCATAATAGACAAGGCCGAAGATGAAGACGGCCAAAAGGGCGCCTAACCCTCCCACCATGACATCAACTCCTTGAATAAACCAAAACCAGGCATCGTTCAAGCCAAGGAATACTGATGGAATCACGGCTGCAGATACCAAATCAGCGATCAAGTAGATCTGTAAAACGTTGTCGGCGACTTTCACAGCCAAGATGATCGTAGGAATCATCACAACCACCACCAAGCCACGAATATAGATCATCTTGATCTTGTTGCGAAACAAGTCATTGGAGATCGTGGACACCATTGCACTTTGCAAAGAGTCAAATGTACAGGTGGACAAGCAGACTGTGAAAATCAAAACGAAGGCCACAACCCATCTCGGCATAGTCTCCAACAAAATGAAAAACGCGTTGTATCCGCTTTCATCGTTCACCTCAATGTACCCGGCCCAGACAGCCAAGAATCCAGGAAGACCAACCAATGTACAGATCACAAAAGTTGCAAAGGACGCAATTGAACAGCCAATCCAAAGATCCTTGTTGGTCTTGCTCGCGAAAGTTCTTAACCAGAACCCAGACATGAAGCAATCGTTTGTTGCAATGGCCACGGGCAAAATGTAAACAAGTTGCCAGCCCAACTTATTAGCATCGAGCAAGCCAGAAGGCCCAATCTTCGACGTGTCTATGTTGATCTCGGAGCCCATTCCAGCCGCACAAATGATAATCAAGACAATGACAAGCGCACCCTGGAAATTGTCCGTGATGAAACTGACTCTGAACCCGCCAAAGGAAGTATAAATTGTGGTCACAACACACTCCACAATGACAGCACCCAAGGCGTCCATTCCCGTGAGGGTTTCGATCGCACCTCTCAATCCTGATAACTCACCAATCATGAAGAGGAACATGGTAAGGCATGTGAAAAAGGAAAGGTACAACGCAGTCACGATGCCGAATCTTTGGCGAACCCATTCCGTCAAAATGAAACCGTGCGGGCACTTTTTGCGAATGAGCGGTCCAAGTGCTGCAAATCCAAGAATTGGGAGCGAGCCTGAGAGTGTATAAACAAGCAAACCGTGCAAACCAGCTGTGTTGGCTATCTGCGAGTAGGTCGTCAATATACCACAACCCATAGCTGTCGGTGTTAGTACATAGGATGGGCTTTTAGCCCCACTAGGCGAGATGCCGGATTCATTCTTACGTAAATTCGCTCCGGATAGGCTTTGAGAGCATATCTGTTGATTCAAGCTGTTGAAGATTTCTCAATGTCTGTCTTCGATCTCGAAAATGCGTAATTCCCCCATCGAGGAAATCAATCACGATCTCAAAATTTTTGCATTTGTCCGATAAACCGCGAGTAGGTTTGTACCATGTATAACTGAGCTATTGAGCTTTAGCTAAAACAGTGAAATGCAACGAAGCCTCCTCACGCAAGAATGAACTTGATCGAGTCCGAACGGTTTAGTCTCAGCTGATTCAGTTCTCAAGAGAAAAGAATCAGCACCCGCTAGCAGTTGCATGGTGAAAAATAAAGTAAACATACCAGAAGCGATAAAATTGATGGCTAGAGGGACCCCTCTCTGTGTCCCATTTGATGATAAAAAGTTTTCCTTTTTGGCATACTTCCAGGCCAAGAACAACCCAGAAGCTAACAAAGCAATGTAAGTGAGATAGATAATGGCATTATTCCCTTGGGATGAAAGTTGCGCCATCTTGACTAAATCTGATAATTTGCTTTTTGATGGCTTTCGAAAAAAGAAGAGAGAAAGACACCCCGGCGGTCAAGATAGAGCGACTTTATACTTTATCTTAAGAAAAATTTGCCTCGGTAGTCTTCGGAGGAAGTCAAAATTCCCGTAAATTGGCGCGGCTTTCGCGCGTCCGTCTGCAGGTAAATTTCACAATATGCTCTTAGGCGTCCAAATGCCAACAGCCTGTTCACCAAGAGAGTGACACGCCGCAACCATGAAGCTGCTGTCTCGGGCCAAGAAAAAGATCTGAGCGAGCGCAAAGATTGGGTCTGAGGACTAAACTAGGAAAAAATGAAACATGCTCCACGGCAGGTTCGAACTGTCGACCTTCAGATTTCACAAGTGTCCTTATGAGACTGACGCTCTGCCAACTGAGCTAGTGAAGCGGTTTCGTTGGGCGTTTTTCGTTACACGTTAATATATACTTATAAATGTAAAAGTTTGTCAGCACAAATATCTGTTTCCGGTACGATTTGTTTCTTTAAAAAAAAAATCCGGCGCATTTGTGGAAAGAATCAAAAACTTATTGAGCCTTTTCTCCAATACCATAATCTTTGAGAAGAAAGATTAAATTGTGTGACTCTTACTAACTGCTTTGGACAAGAATACTGTGAAGAAAGCATTATGTGGTTCTTTTTTAAAAAAATACACACACTCAATTATGAAACACTCTGCTAATTCTTCAAAAACCAAAAGAACGCATAAAGAATTCTCCATAAAAGACCCAAAGGAGTGGTTTTTCATGGAAGAATCATACGGCCCATCAGCGTTGCACAAGGATCTTCGATTGCCCCGTCTCCATGCATTTTTTCTTCTTTCTGAGGATAAATCACATTATAAGATGACACTATAAGCTCGTTTAAGCTATTGGTATCGAGCAGAAAGAAAAAAAGCTAAAAAATGTGCAGTATTGAACCCTGAGATCTGTATGAATAATGCGCTCTCGGATGAATGCACGGCTATTCTTCCACTTTGTGATATAAACAGCAAAGTTGTGAGGGTTTCCTATAATTTGATACTACTTGTCCTGCTACCTCATTTTTAGTCGTTTCAATTCACACCCACTGCTGCAGTTTCTGATGATACCAGTTGTAAGACATGAAGCTTTCCAGTATACGAATCTAAAACCGGAGGGGCATCACTCATCGACGAGAATCATCATCATGCCTGCGAGGCTGCGACAAGAGAGTCTTGTTGGTCACATTCGAAAAAGTTTGAGATGAACTGAGCGAGTACGTCATGTGTGAATTGTCTTAGCTTCTTACCTCTGTGTTTGCTTTGTTTGAATTACAGAACGATACTCAAAGACGATTTTTCTTGTGGAATAGAGGATTGTTAAAAACTCACCATATCTCAGGCACTCCAGCCCAATTGTGGGCCTTCCTTCTTTCCCAATAGCTCAATTTACCATTCTTATAAATCCATTCGCCGGAATCAGGCTTATCGGGTTCACCGTCGACTTGCTGAAAGAACATAGGCTGGTGTGACAATCCTTTTTCTTCGAGATCCTTCCTTCTCCTGCGTTGACCTTCCTCAACTTTTTGTTTGAGCGCCTCCGCTTCGTTCACTTTTCCTTCCTCATAAGCTTGCATGTCAGGTCTGAAGCGGGAATCTGTTGGAGGCAAAAACCCTTTCTCTATTGACGTAATTTTGTTCAAGCTTCCGGCGTATTGGGTGAAGCCAAATTTTTTTTCAGATTGAGCTAGAAGCTCGCCTGCGGTCCAAATTATTTTTTCGGTGGAGTTTGTCTTCAAAGTCATGGATTCTGTCCATTTTCCGCAAACGCTGTATCTAAAGGGGCGTTTTGCAGAGTCATAAGCATTAATCGTTAAATCCTCGGACCTTCCACTAAACATTCCACCTTTCGCAAATTCAACGACCGCCCGCTGTCCTGAACTCGACTTAACCGTCACACTTGTTGATGGTTCTGTGAACTTTTCGCCCGCGATGATGTTTTTCAAGACACATGTGGGCTGGTTCCACGTGAACACCTCTCCCGTCTTCCTTATTGTCAACTTCACACTGCCAGATGTATAAAATTCAGAGGTCTTACCCCAAAACTTTTGAGATGGAGCTGGGCTGAAGCTCATGGTCCAATTGCGGGATTCCGCGAACATTGCAAAGACTGGCGGCCTGTGAGAAACCTTTTCACAGACCATTCTGAATCCCTTGTCCTCTCTCACCAACTCGTAGGTTTCTCCTAGTAGAGGATTGAAGGGCTTTCTCGAACTGCGAACTTTCATTCTCATAGCAGAAAGGTACGAAACAGAAAATGCACCAATCCGCAAAATGAGTTCCCCTGAGTCCTCCAAGTAGTCACCTTGCAACGCATTGTCAATCATGTCGGAGTACTCGAGGAGCTCTGCGTATTTTTGTAAGATGGTAATCGGTTCATTCATATCAACAGGCATGGAGAGTGATGAGAGATCTTTTCCGACATTTTTACGCACAAAAGATAGCAAGCTGGGCGGATAGTGGTCGCATAATGGTATGTCACAGTTTCTCTCAATTGGAGGAAGCGGCAAAGGGTATAAATCTTCGGCCTCATATTGGGAACCGAAATCAGTATCTTTGTCACTAATCGCATAGGTGGGAGCTGGAAGGTCCTCTGATTCCCCGTCAGACCCAGATGATGACTCTTCACTTGCTATGTCGTTGTCTACGATAGGGTCTTCGTCTGGTAGGATTTCCTGAACTGGCGCTGAATCTGTCATGAGAACAACACCAAATCCGTCACCGTTAAGATTTTCATTTGCGTCAAAGAACTCGTTCTCAGAGAAAACAGATGCAATGTCGGAAGACACTGATTGATTGAGCATGTTCAAGAGATCTTGGTCAATCGCCTCCAATTCGACTTTCAACTTTTCGAGCGAGGTCGTGTGAACTGTCAGTATCAAATCAGTCACCTTGGATCTCACATCTCTGAGTTGTGCGTGCAAAGTAGACTCTTCTTGGGTCACCAGCGCGCTTTTTCTATTTTCAATTGCGCGGGTGTTTCTCTTTTTGATGACACTGAAAGCATTTACCCAAGCCTTGAAATCCTTTGCATTCAATGCCTTAAGATTCCAAACCTCCATCCCTGAGTCAATGAAAATCTGGTTTGACTCTGCATCAGCGCTAACAATGGACTCCTTTATTGGCATTTGACCTCGTAACTTATTGTCGTTGGTTTTGAAATAGGACAAGGTGCCATACTTGAGATTGAGAATGAAGAAACGCTTGGTGAATCCCTGCAACTTTTTTCTTCTTCTTTTAAACAAGATGCCTTGCATTAATTCGCCATCTTTAGGCCACAATATGTTTGCTGTTGCGTCGTCAGTCAACTCTTGAGAGTTCGGAGAACCACGGAGAGAGTCAAAGCCGTTTTGAGGCACAATTCTGCGGGACTGATGATTGCTCTCGTCAGTGGTTAATTTTGCACTGAAAAATATTTTCTTGCCTGTCGTTTTGGAGAAGGTGTTGTCGAAAATAAAAGCAAAAGTGCCGCCTTTGTCTGTTTTGTAAATTCCCCTCATCAATTCATCAGGAAGCAATTTGTGATAGTCCTTCACCAATGTTAACCCCGAGTTACTCAAACTTGATGAGAAAGTGGAAGATCTTGATCGATTCTTGAACGTGTTCAGACGAGAAACTGGGGTAATTGAGGTCACTGAGGTAGATCGCAATCTTGAAGGGAGCATAGGGGTCGATGCACCCAGAGCCGAAGCTGATTCAAAACCTGGACCTTCAGTGTCGCCTTTTTGCAATTCTGTTTCGCTAGATGACGAGATAAAATCCACTTTTTGATAGATAGCGAAGTTTACAGACTTCTTTAGGGACTTCACCTGCCATTTGATCGAACTATTCTCCGGTGCATTGACCCACTTCACAAGAAAATCCTTAGCCTGCACCTCCAAAGTTTCCATCTTGATTAATCAGTGTAAGAATATGTCGATGCGATCAGGGCCTTGTTAATTACTGGCTACCCTTTCATGTATTTTTTAATTGCAGTGAGAATGTATTGAGGCGGATACTTTCCGACATAATGGAAGCTAGTCTACGGCCCGTGCCCATATGCAGTACATAAACTAATCACAATCCATTCTGATATACTATTCCTCGGCAAAGGTTAGTTTAGGCACATTGTAGGTAGATTACTAATGGAGTATCAAATGGCTGACGATATCCTCATTGGTGTTTTCAGTAGTAGCATGCGTGTTTGTCATATAATGTCGTTTGCGGGGTATAGAAAGTTCCAAGCGAGGACCGAGGAAAGGTCACTTCGCAACATGTGAGTGTGCCAGGAAGGTGTTTTCCAACAATCCGTTTACGCGTTCTTTTTCGTTTCCTTTTTGATTGCTGTCAAAATTGAGCACATATGTTCTTCGAGGCATAAAGCCCTATGCTTCAATTCTGAAGTTCAGAATTGCGCACACTCGCGTCAAACCTCTGTCAATCATTAGAAGAATATCAGAGATCTCTTGCCTCACAAGGGTATATAATCTACTTGAAAATTGTATGAGTGTCTGATCACCTGAGAATCATTACCGTTTGCGGTAGCTTGAGTCTATGAGGCTTCCAAATGAAAAGAGTTTGAACGAGGTGGCTCGGGCAAAAAGAAAGAAAGTGATCACGCCCAGGCTCGAACTGGGGACCTTCTGCGTGTGAAGCAGACGTCGTAACCAACTAGACCACGCGACCTCTCGTGCTCTTTGTCAGGGATGAAACGGCTAACCCGCAAGAAGGGTCACACGAGTCACATGACCCGAAGCGAGACGAGTCAAAAAAAAAAAAAAAAAAAAAAAAAAAAAAAAAAAAAAAAAAAAAAAAAAAAAAATGTCGGACCAAATTCGACATAATCCAGGGGGTGTGGACCCTCTGACCGGCCCCCGTGTTCGGCACGGCCCACCTGATCCCCCAGACCCAACTTCAGCGAGTTCCGAAGCGCACTTGGCGACTTTTTCCCAGTCACCCCCTGAGCCCCCTTCCGAGTCTTCACAGGATATTCGTAAGGATAACCTGGTAAACTCGAAGGATCCGGACCAGATGGAGGACTCAAGCGATGAAGAGTATGTTGATAGTCAGTCCAGCGGCTCTTCCATGGAAGAATCATCGAGCGATGGTTCAAATTCAGAGTCGAACAATTTAGAGGGTGCCGGGGTGTTGAGCGACAAAACTCACGGTCCTGCACATAAGGAAAATACACTTGGTACTAAGAAAATGACTTATGCCAATGCCACAAATCCAAAAACCCAAAAACAATATAAAACCAATAAAACCCAAAAAAAAAATCAAACTGATGATGAAGTTGAGGAGTTTGTCCGTGAGGTAGAGGAAGAGATGCGGAAAGAAGTCGACTTTCTTTACAAAGGGGTAAAGGACACGATGCAAGGTCCAGGCAGTGTTTTCCAACGTATCAGCCTTGACAAGTTGATGGGACTGATGAAGCCAGAGATGCGTCTCAGGGTCCTCAACAAATATTTTGAGAACAAAAACTCACTCAAGATGAAATTGGAAAATCCAAATGAGTTGAGCAAAGAGACTATCATAACCATTTTGCAAGAATGGTGTGCAGCACGCTTGGAGAAGGAAGAAACAATTTTTCAAACAGTGTCCCGCACAATCAGGAACACTGAAGAGAAATTGGAAGAGCTCATGGAAAGAGCTGCAAATGAAATGAGTCCAACTAAAGAGATAGTTGTTGAAAAGACGAGATTGACTGCTATCTTAAATGATCTGTTGCTGGCGGTTGAGGAACAATTCAAGCTTATGGGAGCTTTGATGTTGATTCCAACGGCACGTATAGTGGATAATCGAATCCATTTTCCAATGAGCAGACAGCCCAATACAGCGGCGGAGTTGAGGGAGGAATTTGACCTCCATGAGGACATACATGTCAGTGCGGATGCCATAAATGATGCAATGGCACAAATCTTGAGAGACACGGATTTTTCTCTGGAGAGAGTCGACACAGATTGGTTCTATGTTAAGGATGCGCCGAGAGTGAAGGGCCAACTTATGGTCTTGAATGTGGGGTTTGACCCATTCGGGCTCATTCGTCAATTCGTGACAAGATGTTTTCTTCAGCCTGAAGATTCGATCCTCGCATGGTATGATGACGAGGAACACTCAACTCCTACTAGAGCGTTCAGTAAGGTGCTTGTTGACCTTGGCCAACTGCAAACTCCCCCCAAGAGATTAACGTGGGGCGTTTTCGCTTCGAACCACGCTAGTCGGTGCCAAAAGTTCGAGAAGAGAGCTAGGACTCTTAAACAAAGTGATGCTGAGTTTGTTGAAACCTACAAGGAAGTTGACCCGGAGGCAATTAGCCAGCTTCAATCACTTACAGATGATCTCCATCAGAGAAGGGTGGAGGTCATTAAAGCTCAAAAGGAGACTTCGCTTGAATTAATGCAAACACCAGCACACGCTAAGGTGGTCGATAAACATAATGTGACGGTTGAGGTTATATACATCTTCCGTCTCTGCCCAATCTGCCACACTACGGAGCACTCGTATAATGAGTGCATGAAGAAGGGATGCAAAGTCTGCGGTCACCCGTATCACCCAGATTACTCGTGCAGCAAAAGATGTAACTGCAACAAAAGGCCATTTCACAAAGTAGAAAATTGCCCTAACAAGAGCCGGAAGATAGCTCAGCCAAAGGCGGCCGCCGCTGCTCCGCAAAAAGCCACAATAGGTTCTCAGAAGGGGCCCTACAAACAAAGCAACATGTTCGACATTCTCGCTACTCAAGGGGATGACGAATCACCAGAGGTCATGGACACCGAGGAAGATGAAGATTTGGTCGAAGCAAGGCTGAAGGTTGTCGATACCCGTCACAAATATCAAAAGGTCATGAAATCTAGAGACACGGTAGAAAGGCAGTCTCTTGTCTTCGAGAAATCCGTTCAGGCTGCGACACAGCCTAATTCCAACAAAGAGCCTCGCGAGGACTCTCCCGAAAGGGCGCGTAAGCTGACTTCTCAGCCTACCCGCCTCGGCTCGATTCTTAAAGGCGATAACAACAATCGCGTCTCAAAATCCGTACAAGAGGGTCAATCCTCTTCAAAAACCACTTCTGCTGATGTACAGAAGTTGGCCCTGCTTTCGAGTAAAGCAAATGAGGGGCAAGGTGCTAGTGGGGAAGTTGGCCCAGCATCAAACGCCCCGGTGAGCGTGGCGTCTGGACCAGTCTTGGGAACGACCGCAGTGGCGGAGAAACCCCGAGGCCCCCCAGATAAAGGACAGACTCGACCGGAACACGATTCTGGTCGGTCCCCCCTGGACATTTTGAGTCAACAGGGAGGGAAAGGTCCGATCCCGGACCCGTCACTGGCTCAAAGTTCGAAAATCTCTGCTAACTCTCACATACTGGAGCTAGGAAGCAGCCATTTTGATAAAAGCGCTACAAGCGCTTCGACCAATCACAGTGTAGCTCATCTCGATTCGTCGGGAAAGCGCCTCTCGGAGTCCTCTTCGGGAGACACTGTATCGTCAAGAAAATGAGTCCGGTTATAGACGAGCTTGATATCAACTTAGTGATGTCAACACTGATCCCCCGCGCGGGGGGTAGTGAATCGCTCGATATCGGATCATATAACATACAACGTACCAAGCAACTTTCTATTGTGGCCAGATTAGCTGCAGAGTACGATGTATTTTTCATTCAAGAATTTGAAGCCACAAAAAAGAGAACTGAGGCAATGGAGGACTTCGCTAGACGAGCGGGACGGCGATTCTTCACAAGCCCTAGTCGCAACGGCAAAGTAAATTTAACAGGGATTTTCATAAACCCAAAAACCATTACGGTGCTTGGAATGCATGAACTTCACGCTGGAAGCCATTCCCAGCGGTACTCCACAGACATCAGGGTGAGAACGAAGAATGAGGATCATGTCGTTTTCCAGAACTTTTATCTTCCCTCGGCTCAAAAGGCTCATCAAGCCTCGATCGTCGAGGAAACGATGGACAGTTTTGAGGATTTGAAGCGTCAACACCGGGCCTTGAAAATATTTTATGGAGGGGACCTTAACAACTCAGTCGAGGAACCAGCAGTTTCGGAATCGGAAGCGCTACTCGCCATCGGCGAACTCAATCGGCTTGCCCGAAACGAGGATGTGGCTGCATATGATCCTGACATTGCGATAGCGCCTACGAATAGATCCGTGACTTGCCGACGCCTTGATCGCTTTTATGCCCCACGCAAGTGGAAAAAGCGGGCGATGCGTTATCAGATCACGAAGCCGCTCGGGGTAAATTCTTCTCATAACATGATTGTGGTGAGATATCTACTTGACCTTTCTAATGGAGTGCAAGTGGACCGCCCGCGGTTCCAATATCCACTTCGTCGAATGCAGCCTCCGTTTAACGAGGCAAGAACCTGGGACATTCCAGCGGATACGAATATAGATGAGGCCATTGAATTGATTCAAGGGGACGGCTACGAATATATATCGCTTATGGGGTTTCTACGCAAGACGGACCCGGGGATGGTGCGGTACTTGCTACAGAATGACTCTGAAGAATCCGAAGGGCGGTCAAAGTACAAGGCAGCGCAATTATTCTTTCAAGCCAAAAAGCCGGAGCAGGTGACTTTTACATCTCTCAAGAACGAAGCGCTAGGTATAGAGGCAAAAACTTCCCCCGAAATGGTGAAGTTGGCGACGGACTACTATCGAAATCTTTACCTGAGTCCTCCGCAAGCTCTGTGGAACGACTTGAAAAGATATTTGAAACCAATACGGCCAAGATTGTCAGGACTCCAGAGGCAGGAGCTCGAGAGGCCCTTTACCCTCAAAGAGTTGGAGCATGCCTTGGGGTTGATGGATAAATCAAAAGCTCCCGGACCAGATGGACTACAGTATCCGGTCCTTCAATATTATTGGGACAGCATTGGGGCAAGTTTGACGCGAGCAGCCAATGATCTCATGACCACCGGAAGACTCCCACATTCGTTCACGAAGGTGTTGATCACTCTTATTCCAAAACACAATGTGGAGACGTCCAAAGACATCAAAGACCAACGCCCTATATCGCTCTCGAACACCTGTATCAAGGTTATTTCGAAAGCAGTATGCACTCGTTTGCAAAAGGTGATGGAACATCTCGTTGGTCCATACCAGAGGGGGTTTATCAAAGGCCGGAGGATTGATCAGAATACTCTGGAGTTTTTCACAATGCTTGATATGTTGAAGCAGGAGGAGTCGCAGGCGTCGGATGGGAAAGCGATCCTCATGGTTGATTTCAACAAAGCTTTTGACCGCATCTCTCATCAGTATATGAGGCAGGTCGTGTTACGAATGGGAATTGGGGGTGGTCTATTAAGGTTGATTATGCTGATCCTTACAGACCAAGTGGCCCAAATCATGCTCAATAACTTTGAGGGGGAACGTTTTCCTCTCAGGTGTGGGACCAGACAAGGCAACCCGTTATCACCGCTCCTTTTCAATCTTGCTTTGGAACCTCTCCTTGCGCATCTCTCGGTGTTGCAAGGGATCCCAATCAAGTATGAGGGAGAAGTGATCGATCATATGAAATATCATGCTTTCGCAGACGATGTCAACATCTACCTTGGGAATGAGAGTGACTACGAGCTTGCAGCAGAAGCTATCAAAGGCTTCGAGCGGGTAAGCAATAGCCGGGTTAGTGAGACTAAAACAAAATTATTGGGAATTAGCACAGACTATTCCCGATATCAA